AATATTTATTTTTATTATTTTATTATTAAAAAAATAATTTTTTTTAAATTTAATAGAGTTAATTACTTGGATTGAGTTAACACGTGAAGTTAAGTTCAAAAACCAAATTGACTTAATACGTCGTTCCTCAAAATATATATGTATATGTATATGTATGTGTGTGTTGTCTTGAAAAAAAAAAAGAACACCACACTTTTACTGTTTGTACAGATTATCTTGGGACAAGATATATAAACTTTCATGGGGAAGTAACAAACCTTGTCTCTGAAGCCGAAACCAGCATAGTCTTCGAAATAGAAAGCTGCTGTGTTTTGCGGAAGCATTTACTGTTTCCAAGCAACACTCCTCCTCCAACGCCAACCCCTACCCCTATTGCTGTTGTTGCCATTGTCTTCTTCTTCTGTGTTTCCATTTGTTTATTGCTTGTTATCTTCTCTCAAATTAGCAGAAACGGATAGCATGTATTGAGCAGCAGCAGCAGCTACTTCATTTGAGGCCTCTTGTTTTTTCTTTCCTCTTCGCATTTGATGGTATCGTATCCATTTGGAAGCATAAAAAAATGTTATGATCCAAAATTCTCCAATCAAAACAGGGTATGATTAATCGGACCTAGCTAGTAATCTGAACTTGTGGATCGAAGAGAGCAAATGTGGCCCTGCTGGTCATGGCGTCAGGTAAGATATGATTTAATTATTCAACCCTGTACGTAACCCCCTTGACTTTTTTTAACATAAATATAAAAATGTTATTATGATGACTGACATTCGGATAATTATGGGTATATTTGTATTTCAATATTGGAAGCTAAGATGAGATCATGGACGAGCAAGGTGTTTAGAATGTGACAGTTACGAAGGTAATTTTTTTAATTTTTTTTATTCACGTGAGAATATTTGAGTTGAGAAATTAATCCTTGTAAATTCTAAAATCAAATAAGTTTTCAGGAATTACTAATATTATCAATCTCATAATTTAAATCTAAAATATGAAAGTATCTTAATTAAGCATACCTCAACTAATTTTTATAAATTTTGAAATCAATAATCAAATAATCTTTCAATAACAACCAACATTACCAATGTAATCTAAAATGTCTGAAATAAACCCATCTCAAGCTATTAATACTAAACCACTACAAGTTTTACAATACTATAAATGAATAAAGTCATGGGCTAGACCGAGCCTAGATTTGTCGGAAGAGTTCGATTCATTGGTGACGCTATAAACAATGTAAAAAATTCCGCTACCATTGATGAACATCAGTTCTGTCGTCAAAACTCAAACTGCCCTATAAGATAAGAAGCTGGATCCATCACCATTTTCTTTTTTCTTGGACGTAAAACATTATAGCCTTATTGTCTTTTTTTTTCCCAATTATGTTGTGCTATTAGGGTAAAAACAAGTGATATGAGATATCAAAGCATTTTGAGGAATATTCGCTGCACATGTCATCATAAAATACATACGATTGTAGTTCAAGAAATTCACTCACAGGTTTAAAGTTGCAAGATATAGATTTGATCCACTTAAATAAAGGAGCTCAATCATCTCGTGCAAAATGCGAAATGACAGGATTTGAGTAATGTGAAATCAACACTTCTTACTCTTTTTTTTTTTATTCAAGGAACCCTATCCTTTAAAAATATATATTTTGTGGGTTGAAGTGAGCGAATAAAATCCCGGTTATCTTAAACTCTTATAAGAGATACACACCCTAACTCGAACTTGAGATCTGCTATGCAGATCTCAAATCTTTTGCCATCATGCCACACCCTTCATGTCAAGCAAATCTACCTATATATCACATTTTTATTTCTTTTAGATTTTTTTTATATATTGTTTTTAGAATAACAAAACATAGATAACACAAGCTAGTCTTGGAATCAAAGGGAAACACAAATCAATTATATACATAATCCTGGTAGAGAGAGGGTGTTTGACACAATTTTTATTTTTATTAGTTTTTAGTTGTTTTTTAAAATTAATTTTTAGTTTAAAAATATATTAAATTATTGTTATTTTAATATTTTTATATTAAAGATATTTCTCTTGTTGCAAGAATTTAAGTACTTGAGCTTGGTTAAAAAATCAAATTTAAGATATCCATTTCTTAACGAGCTATCATTTTATTAGATCTACTTGCTATTATAAAAAAAATATTTTGTTGGTTCACTAATATATACTACCACCCCACTCCTTGGCATGCTTCCATTAAAAAACCAACTGCCAAATATAAAAACTCAAGCATAGATAGAACGAGCTAGTCTTGGAATCAATGGAAAACACGAATTAATTATATGATACTTTTATATGGTGTTTGATGTTGTTTTTATTTTTATTTTTAGTTGATTTTTAAAAATATTTTTGATTTAAAAATATATTAAAGTGATGTTATTTTAATATTTTTTATAGTTTTAAAGTACTAAAGTAAAAAAAATTAAAAAAAATATTTTGATTGTCCAAGTATATCAATAAGTTACTAACATTTACCGAGTACGTACGGACTTTCAAAAGGACCCATCATGGTGATGACATTAAATCTAAAATATGAAAGTATCTTAATTAAGCATACCTCAACTAATTTTTATAAATTTTGAAATCAATAATCAAATAATCTTTCAATAACAACCAACATTACCAATCTAATCTAAAATGTCTGGAGAAATAAACCCATCTCAAACTATTAATACTAAACCACTGCAAGTTTTACAATACTATAAATGGGTTCAGAATAAAATCATGGGCTAGACCGAGCCTAGATTTGTCGGAGGAGTTCGATTCATTGGTGATGCCATAAACAATGTAAAAAATCCCGCTATCATTGATGAACATCAGTTCTGTCGTCAAAACTCAAACTGCCCTATAAAATAAGAAGCTGGATCCATCACCATTTTCTTTCTTCTTTGGACGTAAAACATTATAGCCTTATTGTCTTTTTTTTTCCCAATTATGTTGTGCTATTAGGGTAAAAACAAGTGATATGAGATATCAAAGCATTTTGAGGAATATTCGCTGCACATGTCATCATAAAATACATACGATTGTAGTTCAAGAAATTCACTCACAGGTTTAAAGTTGCAAGATATAGATTTGATTCACTTAAATAAAGGAGCTCAATCATCTTGTGCAAACATGGATGGACGGACAATTGGCAGTGTTCAACCAAATGGTTGTTTGTAATTTCCTTTATCTGAGAAGCACAGAGAGTTTTGGAGATAAATGGATGTTAAACAGCTAATTGATCTGTTAAAAGAAAAGAGACGTCGGGTTTCATTCAATCCTATGCTCGAAGTTTCATTGAACTTAGAACTTGCAGTACTGCCCATTAGACTTTATTATTATTATTATTATTATAAAAAGTCAGGATAGTTAAATGTATGCGAAAAGGATAAATGCGAAATGACAGGATTTGAGTAATGTGAAATCAACACTTCTTACTCTTTTTTTTTTTATTCAAGGAACCCTATCCTTTAAAAATATATATTTTGTGGGTTGAAGTGAGCGAATAAAATCCCGGTTATCTTAAACTCTTATAAGAGATACACACCCTAACTCGAACTTGAGATCTGCTATGCAGATCTCAAATCTTTTGCCATCATGCCACACCCTTCATGTCAAGCAAATCTACCTATATATCACATTTTTATTTCTTTTAGATTTTTTTTATATATTGTTTTTAGAATAACAAAACATAGATAACACAAGCTAGTCTTGGAATCAAAGGGAAACACAAATCAATTATATACATAATCCTGGTAGAGAGAGGGTGTTTGACACAATTTTTATTTTTATTAGTTTTTAGTTGTTTTTTAAAATTAATTTTTAGTTTAAAAATATATTAAATTATTGTTATTTTAATATTTTTATGATTTTAATGTGTTGAGATTAATTTTTTAAAAAATATAAAAAAATTATTTATAAAAAATTTATAAAAAAAAATGAAGAAAACACAACACAAGCACCCCGAGATATA